ACATTCATTATGATGTATCGATGACAACTATGACAAAAATATGTATATATATTTTGTTATTCACTTGTTTTTTATTTCTTCTCTTCTTTTTTTATATATTTTGTTGTGCACAGGTGACTACAGATATATCATATGTTTATGAGGACGTATGTTTACTTTCGATTAGAGACGGACGGATCAGAAGGGCAAATTTATTAGAATGGTCGATTAGTTATAAATTACTGCGCATATTTTATACAATGTTTATTTCTTTACTAGATAGAACATGTGTATCGAAATAGTAAAAGAAAAAGAATAGAAAAGAAAGAAAACTGATTACTAAAAAAAATGTCATTTAGTTATTTATTATAAGGTGAAAAATATCATAGAATAACGAATAATATATTTAATAGTTATATTTTTATATATAGAAAAATGATTAAAAAACCATCCATATTAAAAACCTATTGACGTACGAATAAAATTACTACGAAACAATTTTTATATAAATATAGGGTGTCATTTAAGTGGTCAGTAGAATGATAGAAACGGTCAGTAAAACGAAAAATTCAAAAATCAGTAGAATTATTGAATGGTCAGTAATTAATTTGATAGGTCCATAATAAAATTTAAACGATCAGTAAATAAGATGGAATAGAAAGTAAAAAAATATAAACTTGTGCAAAGATGGTCTACTTTCCTTTTTTTACTGACAAAAATCATATTTTTTCACTGCTGCTTCCACAAAATCTACTGATCACTTTTGAATTGTTTACTGATTTTTTTGAAAACTGACCAATTGATATATTTACTGATATTTCGATTATTTTACTGACCGCTCAACATATTCTCATAAATATAGTACAAAGTTATCGTAAACTTGACGAAGAAAATTTCAAATAATTACAGGATAATATCTAATTTTATAGTAAATCATTCTGTTATAAGGGTTAATATTTATTTTTAGCGGAAACTATTATCAAACAATAGAGATTTAAACCATACGGTATATACTGTCTATATGTATATATTGTATTACTTTATTTAAGTAATGAAGTGTGTAGTTTGTCCTCACGCTGCGTTGTCATGGACGAACTTCGTCCCTGTGACATAAAAGAAAATCATATATATTACACTATTACGATAAAGATGCACTTAAGAAAGAAATGTCACAGCTGATTGTAAGTACACAATTATACAGTATGACAGAAAAAATTTTCTTATTATTAAGAAAATATTCGAAAAATACACCACGAACGAAAAACATGATCAAATAGATTATTAAATTCTATTACTTGTTATTCCTACGTTAACGATGGCTCATTTTCTTTTCAACTACCGTAAATTGTGATATAAAATCTTACATAGGATGTTGTATATTTTTGTGAGACTTACACACATTTATACACATGTTAAGTTTAACTGTCTTTTATAAGAATTATATCGATCGACAGTTCAAAAATACGATCGAGATTTGATATTAGTAAAACATGAAGTCGTAACTCATGTAAAGATCGATGAAAATTTAACCTTGAAATTATATTAACAGCAGAAAGAATTTAAATTTCTATTACAATAAAGTATTATATGCTGGTATATTAATTTTATCAAATATGTATTTTTTGTAGTTGAAGACGAAATATTGTTCTTATTTGTGTCTTGGTCCACTAGATGAACACATAGAAATATTCGAAACGTCGATATTTAATAACAATATTCTCGTCTTCAACCATAAAAATACATATTTGATTATTTTAAGCGGTTACTCATTAATTTAAATTATTTTTAGTTTTAAACAAAAGTATAGAAAATCAAACAGTTTTATTAAGTATTGGAATAATAATATAATGCAATATATGCGTCTCTAGTAATAATAATTCATTTTTTTATTCTTTTTAGTTTTTTATGTGCTTGAGTATAAAGAGGACGATCGTGTAAGCAACCAGCAGCTATAGCACTAGTTAATAAACTAAATATAATAAATACATGTGCTACTTCATATAAACTAGCCGAATAACCATTGTATAGAAGTACACGTGCACCTTCAGCTAATCCGGCAAGCATAAAAAGACATGCATTAAAAAGAAATGTTGGTGCAATTAAATATATCCATGTTGATCGATCACCAAAAAACATCAGAAGATTAGTAATTGTTCCAATAAAGATAAAAATAATACCAATAATCGAAAGACCAGCCGCAAAATTTAAATGTAAATTCCATTCAGTTGAATTTCCTGTTAAATTAATTATATAATATTGTATATCATTATGATCACTACTACGTTGTCCACATTGCGCATCACCAGTTAGATTTAAACGGCAAGCATAGAAAAAATTAGCAACCCTATCAATATACGTTTGTCCAGTTGTTGTATTAGTCGATGTAGTTTGCCAATTCGATGAACCAATTCCAACACAAGCTAACAATAATGCAATTGCTCCAAAGATTACTGAGAGAGAAATTAATGCAAGATTGCATGTATTATACTTTACAACCATTTTATTTTTCGAATGAATGATGAAATAGTATATAAATTGTTGCTAACGACTATCGATTCTTTTTTTATATTAAACTTTAAATATTCTTGCTTGACAACTCAACGAATGAAAGTTTTTATCCCAGTAAGTGAATCGACTTCATTTTGTGTACAATGCATATTTCTTTTTCTATTCTTTTGAATTTATTATATGATATACAACACAAGAAGAAAAAAAAACGACCAAGGGGATTGTTAGCATTTTTGTTCAATCAATTGGTTGAAAAAAAATACTGTATTAAAAACTATAAAATTCAATCAATAAAATAAATAATCAATAAAGACAAAAAAAAGAATATACGTGGAAGATCATTTTATTAGATAATAACATAAAATCCAGTTTTTAATGCAGCATTTTCTTCAAAATTTTTTTTGTCTGAATCATCAAGTTTACAATGTTTGAAATAAATATCTTGTAATATTTTATTTTCTTTCAATTCATTAATAGCATGTTCAACACCATTTGGAGTTATATCTGGATTTGATTCAAGTTTTAAAACTGTAAGTTTATTATTGTTATTTTTAACTGCCTTAACTAATAAACTTAAACCATAATCAGTTATTTGATTTTTATTTAATGATAAAAATTTAAGTGTTTGATTTTTTGTAAGCATATTAGCTAGATACTGAGCCCCGTTATCTGTAATATCATTTCCGGAAAGATCAAGATCTTTAATTGCACATGTATTTAATGAAAGAAAATGTGATATTATCTCAACACCTTGATCTGTTAAAAGATTATGTGATAAATCCAGTTCTCTTAATGTTGTATTGCCTCCTAATACATTTGCAAGAATTGTAATACTTTTATATGTAAATCGGTTTCCCCATAAATTAAGACTTTTACATTTTTTTTCATTAATACCATACTTAATTACAGTTGCCATATTAGAATCATCTAATTTTTGACATGATACATCTATTGTTGAACAACAATTTTGACTATTAATTATTTCTTTAAGTTCTGTGTCTTTAACAGTGGCATAGAATTCTATAAATTCAAGATTATTTTATTTATTTGTAAATAGAAAATATTTAACATACCTAACATACGTACTCTTCTTTGTATTTTTGTTTCAGGAATATTCTCATCATCACTTGATAATTGATTTTGGTTGGGCCCCCGCAGCATTATTAAAAATTAAATATAAACTATACTGATATGTTTAATAAGAAAAAGTTTATTTTCAAATTTTATTATGCTTACTTTATAATCGAGAAAGTTTTTTGTGGTCTGTTATATTTATATCTTATCTAGTTTTGTTGTGAAATATGTGGCAGAGATAAAGAACAAATGAAATTTTTGTTATTGCTCTTGCTAGGGTTTTTTTTCGTAGATAATAATGAAATCATGCTTCATCACTGTTGTTGTTGTTGTTGTTGTTGGGAGAAAAGAATAATAAAAAAATAGTGTACATAATTTTTACTGCTATTACTTTTCAATTTAATGTAAATCATTTGTATTATAATGTTCATCTATTGAAGAACATCTTACACTAAATACAATTAGTATATATTTTTTTTCAATATGAATAATAAGATTTTTCATATTAGAATCATTTAAGTATAATTACAAAACCATAATGTACAAATGAAATGTATGAATTATTGGAAAAACTATATCTAGTAAATTAATTATGGTTTTTTTCTTGGGTTGTCACCGTCAGACGAAAGCAAGCATCCGATAAATTTTCAAACAAAGTTATAATCAGTATAAAAACCACAGTGCTGTCTTTATCAGAAATTCGGATACTTTATAGAATTTTCTAAAGAGAATACTTCAAAGTAGCAGGCATATTTTCTCTAGACGAATTTGAATTTACAATAGAGCAGTTTGGCAAAGGTATTGAACGAAAAAGCATAATCTGTCTCAATAATGAATAATGATTTGAAAAAATACGAATATAGTATAGATCAAGAGGAAAATAAAAAGAATTTTTTTAAATATTAAACTGAAATTTTTATAAGAAAAACCTTTTTTTTCCATTTTGTATTGTTGATGAAACATTGAAGATTATTCATTCAAGTCAAAACATAAAGAATCTATACAAAAGCACACATAACAATGAGAGTAATTACAAAACATCGAAATAAATAATGATCATTGCGTGTATTTGAGATTGCTCATACAATTTAAATGCATGGATAAATACGAACGACAAAGCAATTTAATTACTATTAGGGTAGTACACGTGCGTAAAATAAATATTACGATATATGGGTCATATGACATACATATTTATCTTTTACAAAAACAAGCTTTTGAAAGTTTGAAGTAGATGCTCCATGAACTGCCTGTAAAAATATAAAAACTAATCCTTGTATATCGAGCTGTTTCAATATTCATTTTCTTCACAATGACTTACAAATACGTAATCAGATATCTGTAAAGTATACATCTATTCCATATGATTAATCGATAGTATTTGATAAAGTTTTGACATATATTATGAAGTTCTTTCCCTTTTTCTCAAATATATGTGTATCTGGCACGTTCCCAACAACAAGTAATTTAAAGTAATATTTGATTGAGTTTGAAGAATATTCCTATTTTTCTTTTCAATTCACTACTTATCTTGATCATCACGTGAACAAACATAGATTTTTCTTTATTTCTTTCTCACAATGCTAACAAAAATAAAATAAATGAAAAAAACATCAATATATATATAGCTCTTGTTGTCGTTATATATGAATAAGAAGAAGAAAAAATAAATGACATGACGATTTTAAAGTGTGCAAGAAGGACGTGTCTCAAATATCAGGCAAAAATAAAGGTTTACGGATTAAATTACAGTACATATTTTTAAAGCGATCAAAAGAAAAAAACAGGACATATTTTATAATATTATTCTCGATGGAAAGTGATGCATCAAGCGATGAAGATGTCACAACGACCCCTGTAATACTCAGGCTTAGTAAGTATCAAAATCATTTAAAGAAATTAACTAATTGAACTTTATAAATTACAGATTGTTCTGTGTATAATCCATGCGGTCGATATGGCTATTGTCGAGATACGACAACAGGTGACACAAAATGTCTTTGCAAATTTTGGTGGAATGGAACAAGATGTGATGAATGTGAGAAAAATGATCCTTGTAAATCTAATATTCATGCTTTCTTTTTACTCTATCTTGTAGTATCAAATAGTGGTCAACAGGTTATAGCACTAGGAGTTCTGGTATTTATTTTGTTAGTATTTTTTTATGGAATGCTATTGTTTCGTCGTATCATGAAAAACCGTAAACTACCAAAAAATGAACAAACGTGAGTCTAGTTTCTTATCATTTTCTGTTTTTTAATTTATAAATAATTTCTAGAGAAAAAATTCCAATTTTCACTCGAAAATTTCCTACAGTACCGATCACTGTACTTGATCCTTCTCGTCGGATTTTATCATGGATTACTGGTATTTTGACTCTTATAGTTGCAGCAGGTACTCTTATTGCTAAATGGTTTACTATAAAACCTATTCATGAAGAAATTGTTGATAAATTTCTAAAAAATCAATCAGTTTTTTATATACGTCCATCAGTTTGTCGAATTATTGATTTAAGAGCTGAATTCAATCTTTTTACTTTTCCGGCTGCTTGTCTACTTATTGTATTGTTTATAATAACAACAAAACGTACTTCATTTCAACGAAACAAACATTGTAAAGGTTATTTAGGTATTCCAATACCATTAGATTTTTTCGGTCATGTTAAACGAACATTAGCAGCAGTCATATTTGCTGTATTTGCCGATGAATTATTAGATATTGTAACGGAACTCATAGCTGGAAATCGTCCATCAAGTGGTAGAGGTTCGTTATTTAAATATATAATAATTTATTGTATTCTATCTGCTTTATTATAGGTGTCATAGTGAGTTATCTATTCCAGATAATACGAGTCTTTATCATTGGCTTTCGACGTTATCCAATTTTGGCTGCTGTCTATATTGATAATTGTTTCAGTTTAGCTTGTGCTACTTTATATGTATGGTTAGATTTCAGTGTATCTATTGTTTATACCGGTCTTTGTCGAAATAGTTTCTATCTAACAGAAGAAGCATTTAATAAAACTGACAGTACAAATACAGAGATTAAATTGACTTATTATGGTACAGGATCAAAATTATTATTTGTTCAACTATTGACTGATATTCCTCCTTATATATGTCTTGCTTATATTAGTGTTAAATTACCTATGTTATTATTAAAACGAATTCGACATCGACATCCTACTGACAGACAACTGACACGTGAACAAAAAGATCTTTTATATTCATCTTTACCACATTCAGCTGAATCACGATATGTTAAAAAATTATTAGGAATAGTTCCTATACAACCACCAAAGAATCGATTTAATCAAATTTTACGAAAAATCTATGCATGGCGAGATGATTTTCGTTTCTCGTCTCGTGTAGTCTGTGTCTATGCATCAGCTTTTCTACTACTTTTCTTTATTACTGTTAACGTAAGTTATTTAATTATTTAGTAATTTAATATTTTTTCTGTAAAATAAATAGGCTTACATTCAAGTTCTTCCAAAACTTGATGCAGCCCAAAAAGGTTTTCAAGATGGTGCTAATTTCCTTGCTGGAGTTGTATTACCATCAGAGCCTGACGTGATATATGATGAAGATACACCGTCGGATTTTCCTATACCGAATCTTACTCGATCATATATAATTGGTGTTATTATTGCATTGATTATAATCATTGTACAAATATTAGTTATGCTTGCAAGTATTCGACGAAATCTTATACAAGCATTTCGTGGTAATCATTCTGAAATACCAGGTCGTAATCCATCCCGAAATGTTAGTTGTATAACTGGCTATTTTCATTTCGCTGGATATTTAATTGGTTATCTTGTAATAGGTTATATAGTTTTGATATTTTTTGCTGTTCTTATAGTACTAGTTATTGATGGATTTCTTACTTTTGGAAATGCAAGACTTATTGAACGAGGACTCAAGGGATTAATTCCTTTCGTACTTTTTACAACATTTAAATTATATTTAAATAAAACTTTGGGACAAATTGTATTTCTACAACATGCTGGTGAAGTTTTATCAGTTAATAATCGACGAAGTTTTATGGTATATATCTATTTTAATTTTTTTCTCGATGCTTTTCTGGGTTTTATTGCTGCTATCATGCGTATATTGAAAAGTATTGGTGGTGGTATCATTTACATGTGCCGATTGGATTATGCACCATTGGGTAGAAAATTAGAAACTATGGATGCTGGTTTTAATTCATATTGTGGATTAATTCATATAGAATGTGCTCATCGACATCCTGTTTTACTTTGTTTTGTTAGTCATCTTCTTCGTGATCATCTTTATCCAACAACAACAAAACGATTATCAAAAGCAAAACATAAATGGCTTCTTGCTGTATTCTTAATAAATAATCCAACATTAATTTATCAACGAAAAGAATTCCTACAAAGTCGACAAGAAAATCAAACAAAATTGATGTTGATTGGAAGAAAGAACACAAAAATTCCGTACATCGAACAACCAAGTATAATCTCGACAAAAGCATTAGAAGACGTATGGGAACATCGTAGATTTTAATCCTATACGTGTTTTTTTCTGGTGATATCAAGTTCTACTTGACTAATACTTTGCACAATTTAAATTGTGATAAAATTTTATAAATATTATATACGTTTTTTTTTAATTCTCTAATCAATAAAATAATAGAGACAAATCTAACAGTAAAAACTATCGACTTGATAAAATAATAGCCAATAGAGAGAGAGATAAGTCCGATGAAAAGACTGAGATATTGATCTTCAATATAACGGAAATATTTGTTATCAACATCTTCGCTTTTCAGTTACAGATGAAACAAGTTTATTTTTAATCCTCTGTTGATGTTGTGGGGTCCAAGAGGACCCACTTCGCAGCTTTTTACTAAATTTTCTCTTAGAAGTTTCTGTTTCCGATCGGTTCTCAAATCTAATCTCTAGTCTTTTGCTGGTACACACTACCCATATGAGAAATCATGAGTAGGCCTAACAGAGAAAAAATGCAGCTAGAGGTCCTCGTGGACCTCATTACAACTATAATGATATTCCTGCCATCTATTCTGACGCAGTGTTGTTTCAGAATTTGCCATTTTCAAAAGACTCTGCTCAATCCTTATTAATACTACGGAGCCATCTTACAGTGCTTAGCACGAAATGCGTTCATATCTTAATAAAACTGAAGCATCTACATGTTTATATTATACAAATGGAAAGCTTTAATGACGCTAAAATTTAGTTTTTCGATAAACTTTCATGAGTGGGTCCGGATGGATCCCGAAACAACCACGAAGGGTTAGTTGATTATTATTTATTTCAGTGAAATCTCATATTTAGAATATGAGAAAGATTCAATAAATTATTATTGAATAAAATACACATACAGATTTCATTACTAGTATGCATTACAAAAAAGTAACTAAGAATTATATTTCCCGAATAATAGTAATAGAAAAGAAAGAACATATATTGTCACTGACTATAAAGAAAAATAAGGAGACTAGATCGATATCAATAATTTGATAATTTTTTAGATCCTAAACATTGTGTAAATAATCGTGGTAATACTAAGATTAAAGATAAGACCAGCTTTTTTCGAGATACCTTTAAAATAAAAACAAATTATTACTTAATATATGAAGAATTTGAATACATACTTTCGCAGGAAAACAATAAGATACTCTTTCAACATGATCAATTGTATTGAATTGTTCTATATTATCTTCTGTATTTATTATTTTACCTTCAGCAGATTTAATTTGATCACCCTTTGATATAAAAATATTAATTTTAAAAAATAAGTTCAAAAAATATTCTTACTTGTACACATATGACATAAGCTAAATCATAAAACAAATTTTGTAATTCCTGAATACTATCTTCAAGTTCGATTAACTCCTGATGACGTAAGTTCATTTCATTTAATGTTTGTCTAGCATCTTGTATTTCGATAATAATCTAAAATTTTATAAATTGATTATTGATGATAAAATTTTGTTTTCTTACTTCAGGAAATAAAGTTAAACGTCCTTTTTCAAGTATTTCTTCTACTTCATCATCATTTCGTTGAATATTAGCTAGAAAAATAACATAAAGGAAATATAATCATAATAAATATCTATTCAAACCTATTTCTAATTGTCGAATAAGTCGTACTTTACATTTTTCACGATAAGTTAAAACTGATTCATGATATTTATTCATTGTTATACAAAAATATTTCATACATGCATCAATTTGAGTATCTATTATACGTTGACGAATATTTTTTCGTTTATTTATATTATTTTTTTCTTGAATTTCTTTCATTTCTATAAAAAAACATTATAGTTTAGAATTATATCGATAAAAATGTAATCATACGTTTTAATGTTATTCGAATAGTATTGCCTAATTGTTTTATTTCAATCATTGTTTTTTCTAATTTATCTTTTGTTTCTAAAAGACATCGGTGTTCTATTTAGATTAAGAAAAGTAAAAGTAATGTATACATACGAGGTAATGTTTGTGGTGCAAGCATAGCTTGTTGAAGACGATCAACATCATCAACTAATTTTGCAATTTTATCGATCGTACTACGAAGTGTATCAATCTATTTTAAAATAGAAGAAAATTTCCTATGTATATATATTTAAAAATTAAACTTACTCGATTGAAGAAATCATTCATGAATGGTTCTTCCATATCGATAATAGCAAAATAATTAACTAGACTAATACTTTCACCATCATCATATATTTGAGCCTTTAAATGAAAGAATAGATCAATATAGGAATTAACGAAATATAAATTTTCAAAATCATACGTTTTCTTTAAATTCTTGTAGTCTATCTTTAACCATGTGTTACCGTTCTTGATTTTATTATGTTCTTTCTAACTAAAAAATTATAACATCTCTCTATGTGTTATACTAGTTTACCTTCAGATGACGACAATGCAACATGATAAACATGTCGGATTATTGAACCTAATAATGAGTCATCGTCTAAAATCATAGTTTTTTTGCTTCATCTCGAAGTATTTACCTGTCAAGAACATGTCAATTATATTTGTTTTTTCAAGTCACGACTAAAAGCATATTGATTTCAGTTTGAAAAAAAAACAATGATGACTGGTTAGAACCCTAGCGTCATTCGATACTTGATAATAGTCATGTATGTATTAATATTGACACAAAGAAGAAAATCAATAATAAAAAAAATCTGTAGGAATATTCCATTTCAATACAGTTGATTATTATTATATCTCATCCTGTCATCTTGATGACGTATATAAAAAGAAAATATATATATAGGAAATTATGAGTCGTAGGTTTGTTGCCATTGAAATATAATATCTAGAAAGTCCAGGTATCAATAGTTTAGAATTTCAAATTATTTTCTCTAATATACAATATCAAACAAAGAAATCAGTGCTTTAATATTAATAATAACACAAGCAATGTATGAAATACTTCTAAGAGAATTATTATCAAAGGCAATAAATACATGTCCAGTTTGACTCTGATAATACGCATACTTTGCCAAAGTAGAAAAGTTTGACGAAAGATCAACATCAATTAGATTTTATTCAAATATTGTTAATATAAATGTACTTAGATCTAGATGAAATTCATGATTTAGTATGTAACAGTTGAATTTAAAAATTAGAGTAGAAACTATTAGATTATTGATTTGGGTCATTCATGTAAAGATAAGTGCCATAGGTATATCGTCCGCGGTAGTATAGTGGTTAGTATCCCCGCCTGTCACGCGGGAAACCGGGGTTCGATTCCCCGCCGCGGAGTATTATTTTTTTTTGTCAAAAAATCATTCTGCACTAAAGATCATTAAATACATTTGATAAGGTTCTCATCGGCTATGATAAATTTTTTCCTTTTTTTTTTTAATTAAATCTAAGAACTATGACAATATATTGACAGTTTTCTCTTGATCATTTAATGAAATGAATCCAGTAAGGGATCATCATCAGCAGCGTGGCGCAGTGGAAGCGTGCTGGGCTCATAACTCAGAGGTCGGTAGATCGAAACTACTCGCTGCTATATACTTCTTTTTTTCTTCTTTATATTATTCGACGAAATTGCGTAAGATGTGAACAGACTTGTTTGCTGTAAATAGTTAAATGAAATAACTGATGACTCATTTTTTGCTTGACTTACGATATTGATTCAGAGAATTTGTAAGACAAAGATTTAAGACTCGCTACTCATATGTAATTATGTTGAGTCTATCATCTGAATTCAAACGTTATTCAACCGATGCTGTTCTATAATCCAGATTCTGTATTTAAAAAAGTTTCATTAATTCCTTAACATCATATACAACCTTAGTCTTGGTTCTATAACTTCTGATGTAATTTGATAAAATTTCCAGGCATTTATCTCTGCAATCCTAACATTTGTCTACAACAAAATCTATTGTCATTCAAAGATCTATCATGAATTCAAGCAGAGGTCGCTAACATACAGTATATTACTATAGTCTATTATATATTTGAATGGAATTGGTTATTATTATCGTCCTTTCAATGAACAAAAACGAGAAAAGAAGATATGTCTTGACGACACACGCATACAAACTTGTTTTCTTCTAGTTCTAGATCTCATCATGTCGGCTGCAACAGCATCTGCTCCAAGCGATCAGCAACCAGCTGGTTTAAGTATGGCACAAATTGAACAAGTCCGTACACAATTACAATCTGATATTGAAATGTTACAATCATCGATACAACGTCTTCAATATGCTCAAGAAGGTTTTGGTGAATCAATGTTAGCTGTATCACGTTTACCAACAAATAATCAAGATAATTCATTACTTGTACCACTTTCATCATCCATGTATGTTCCTGGTCGTTTATCTGATCCTGATCATGTTTTAGTTGATGTTGGTACAGGTTTTTTTATTGAAATGCGTCCAAAAAAAGCACAAGATTATTTCAAACGTAAACATGATTATATTCAAGTTGAAATTGATAAATTACAAAAAGTTTTATATGATAAATTATTAACAAGACAACAAATTAATGGCATTATTCAAATGCATCTTCAGCAGCAACAGCAACAACAACAACAACAAAAATAAACGTTCCTAGATTTTGTCTGTTTTCTTTAATGGATACTCATTTTGTTATAGTTTAAAACGAGAATAAAGCGAATTTTTAAGAACTTAATAAAGAACAAAAAAAATCAATTTGATTCATTTTAATTATATACGATAATTAAACATCATGGAAGTTGGATAAGACAATTATTTCGTATTTTCATTGAATAACTATCGATTAGCAGCTACGGGTAATAAAGCAATTATCGAGCTAATGTTAAATGAAATCTCGTTTGTAGCTACCCTTTTACAGATAGAATTCTTACATTTCTTGTCAAGGGAAAACAAATCTAAATATGTCGCATATATTAAAGTTTATGATAGAATGTACAAGATATTTAATTATAGTAACTACTGTGACCTACTTCTTCAAATAAATTTACAGTACATGCGAAAGATGTTAAGTACATCGTTCAAATCTGGTGTTTATTGCTTCTATTGATTATACTATCAAAGTAAATAGTTTCGGCGTTTTCAGTTTTATCTGAATATATATGGCAGATATACATAAATTTCAAGATAAGTAGATGGTACAAGACAGATTTATATCTGCATTAGAAGATGTACAAATTCAATATTCTTAATTAATTTGATTATATATAACTGCACTCACAATAAAATGATGAACGCATAGTCAGTAATGATTCATGATATTTAATCATGAAGAAAGAAAGAAATCATATATTTTTAGGTTCAATACTATTGAACTAAAACAAAAAACAATTATACAGAAAATTTTCACACCATAAGGAATTGTTATTGCTGTTCATAGACATCATTCAACATTTACTGTCTTCTTTAGCCATGCGCTGACTCATAGACAATACGTTAGTACATTCATTTTCTTTTTCCTTCATCGATTGTTCGAGGGTATAGTTCTTCTTTTTCCTTTCTCTCTCTCTCTTTTTCTTTCAATGCGGTCAGCATGCACAATTCTATTCATAGCTCTCTCTTTTTTTTCTATTTAGCAATGATAACGTATCAACTGACTTAAACGAATGGCACAATTTGCTTGTTTACCGTTGTGTTTTTCAATAATATTTTTTCTTGTTACACTCTATATAAATTCACTTGTTCAAGTATGGGCCGATCGAAATTCTCCATTTTGGATGCCAGCATTGCCTGATATTGGCCATAAATTATTACCTTACTGGACATTTTATTCAATAAATAATTATTATCTTTTAACTGCATTTATTTCAGTTATTATTCGTTATATTTTTCAACGTGATATACGTTTAATTGTTTTTCGTCGATGGCTTTTTCTTCAAGCTGTTATGTTTATCATGAGAAGTATATCTATTTATGTTACATCATTAAGTGTACCATTACCAGGTTGTAATACAACAGCTGTAGGTTCACCACCCATTGAAGCTTTTTATATCATGAGTTTAGTACATGCAACATGTGGTGATGTTCTTTTTTCTGGTCATACAGTTACATGTAAATTCATAAAATTTTATTTTCTTTAAAATATTCTTTTGTTGATATTTTTTCAATAGTAACATTATGTGCTCTTGCTTGGACAACATACTCTAAAGGTGAAGAACATTATCCAATACGTTGGTTATGGTATAAATATAAAGGTATTGATGAAAATACAACTCGTCGTAGACCTGGTTGGCTTTATCCAAAATTAGATTCAACGGGTGATCCATTATCATTTTATATAACAACATTAGTTGTTTGGATATTTACTATAATTGGTTATTTATTTATTATTTCAACACGATTTCATTATACAGTGGACGTTTTTCTCGGTTATTTGTTATCGAAACTAACATGGGATACATATCATTATTATATAAAATCTTTAGCTGAACGACGAACTATTATTATATCACGATTTTTTCTGTGGTTTGAAGGTTATGGAAGACCGCCAGCCGATGCACCAGTAAGTTTACTTACTGGACCATCGTATGGACATCAAGAACAGCACGAACAACCAGAACATATGGAAAAACCAAGTGAAGTTGCACGTCCGGGTGATGCAAAAGAAGTTTAATAGATCTTATGTTGTTTTGTATATATTATATAGAATAATAACGAAATGAGTGTTTTTTTTTCTACTTTTTATTTAACCAAATAAAGAAGATTTAGGATTTGAACTTGTAAAAAATATTTTTCATAATAGAGAAGTGATGTAATAAAACACATTTGTTTTATTTGATATCTATCACGTTTTTTTCTCATATTCTGTTACAGTCATTATTGCTAAGTGTTTCTCATCAATTTTCGCTGCCTTTAAGCTAAGATTATTTTGTATTGAATCATAAATCAGCTGTTTATAGATAAGAAAGTTAAATCGAAGAAATTTTTGTTCCTAATTAAAAAGAATACTGCATTGTTAATTTTTGATGTACTATAATCAACTTTTACATCATCGATTTTAATTCATTATATAATCATTTTGTATACATTAGAGGAAACCATACATAGAATATTAATCTAGGAAAGAAGCTAATGAACAGAACACAATATTCTATTAAAGTTTCATATTTATATAACAATCAAGATGGTAAACGTATAGATGTAGAGTAATCCGCAATAGTCATGAAATTTATTCGAGTATATGAAGATTCTATTCAATTCTGTACTGATGAAAAAACTTTTGATTTTATACAAAAATCAAAATATAAATATAGTTGATTTTCAATCATGTAACACCATCTATCAGTTATCTCATTTGATTGGTTGTTAACGGAGGCGACTTCAGATCCATTTTATCCTTCTACAACACTCATTTATATTTTTCGACTCTATTCGATAGAATTCTAATTTTACTATACGTTTAAATCTATTGTTTTAGATGAGTACTTCCGTAGAAACTAAGAAGCGTAAGCTTCCAAAGAAATCCGACGATACCGTTCAAAAAAAGAAGAAAGTTCAATTTTCACTTAATAATACTGAAAATGAAACACCAAAAAAGGTAAATAAATTCTTGTTTTTATTATTCTTAATTTAAAACAAAAATAAATGATTTATTTTAGATGGATTTTGAAGCACTTTCCTCATCTCTTAAATCTCGTGCTAGTGAAAAACTAGCAGAAGTTGCTGCTGCTAAACGTCAAGTACGAGCTAAAACCGATCCAGCAATTTTATCCAATGTTAAACAGATTAAAAAACAATTAAAAACTAAACAAAAACAAATGGAAATAAAAAAGAGCAAGAAAAAACATATTAATATTGTTCAAGATAAAGAAAATACAACATTTCGAGAACGTTTAAAAGAACGACAAAAATTACGACGTGGTGTTCTATTTGATATGGCTGATAAATCAAAGAAAATCTGGGAAATGTTACGTCGAGATGAAACAACGAAAGAAGTTCGAGTAAAATTATGTGGAGAATTAATGAAATTAATTGAAGGTAATGTTAAATTTTTATCAATGGCACATGATACAACACGTGTACTTGAATGTCTTGTTCAATTTGGTAACGAACAACAAAAACAATACATTTTCGATCAAATTCAAAGTAAATAAGAAGAAAAAATTTCTTTTTTTTTTCATATTTTAATATTCTAGAGGATATAGCAACGATGGCAAAATCACTTTATGCTCATCATGTTATCATTAAATTTTTAACATATGGGTAAGAAGAAGCATTATAGATTAGGAAGCATTATCCTTCCAGTTACTTCGTTCGATAAGATTTATTGTTTTTCTAATATATATGTTTTTCTAGAACGGATGTTCAAAGAGATGCAATTAAGAAAAGTCTACATGGTCATGTTTGTAAACTTGCACGACATACTGTAAGTAGATAAATAGATAATTATTTTTTTTTTGATTTTTCGATTATTTGTAATAATATAGATTGGTTGTCGTGTATTGGAACTTTGTTACAATGATTTTTGTAATTCAGCTGAACGTTTTCAACTTGTTCAAGAATTTTATGGTCGAGAATATACTATTCTTAAAGTTAGATATTGATTTAATTTTTATTGAATATATATGTATGTTTATATATTAGACAACTGATGTAAAAAATATTGAAGAATTACTTGCAAGTAAGACAGCTACAGGTCAACGAACAAATGTACTTGATTATATGCAAGAAAATCTTATGGCTTGTATTCAAAAGTGAATATTTATTATTTGAATTAATAATTAAAATAATCGATTTGTTTTTTTTCCATAATTATTAAGAGATTTATTAAGTACATCAATTGTTCATCGTGTTATGCATGAATATATACGAAATGCTAACGAAAAAGGTCGAGAAGTAAATATCATCTTTTTTTTTCGATTGATCTGAATAATTTTACATGTTATTAAATAGGAATTAATTGATGCCGTAAAAGAAAAATTAATTAAAATGATTCATAGTCGTGATGGTGCTCATGTTGCAATTCATTGTTTATGGTATGGATCAAATAAAGTATGTTAATTCTTTATTTGAATTAAAACTAAATAAATATTTTATTAATATAGGATCGAAAATTATTAATAAAAAGTTTTAAATCATTTGTTGTTAAAATTGCTAAAGAAGAACAAGGTTATCCTGTTTTATGGACTATTTTTGACATGGTTGATGATACAAAACTTGTCTCAAAAATAGTTTTACAGGTATGATAGATTTTTAATTAAAACCTCTATTGTTTATAAAACAATCAAATCTAAAAATTCAAGTTAAATAACTGCCACAGGATTCATAAAAGTGAAATAGCTTCTTACAAGAGTATATTCAAGTCTACATAAAGACCTGGCAATGTGTTTCTAAGTCTAGTAATTCTTTTATTTGTAACCATTTTGTTCTGTATGATTGAATTCCCAGTTGATGCCTAATCTTGTGATAGTTCTCTTGTTGAACAGAAAACTTCGAAATACTTTGATTTATGTATAAAAACAAAAAACGATTAGTCAGACAGATGCTAAGATTAGGAACCGATGAACTTTAACTTATCAACCCTTTAACAGGCGGTGGGACATATATGTACCACTTTTCTTTTCGATCATAGGGTTGCGGTGAAGTAAGAACACTTATTTTGATATAAAATACTATGATATTGCATAGACTGAATATATCTATGAGGGTGTGGGTGTGGGTAAGAGTGTAGATAACATGGCAAAACCCACAGCCACAACTACCGGTACACCCACCCCTACCCTAATAATCTGCATTAAAGACATCGTTTTATGCGAAAAAAATTGACAAAACTTGCTCATCCAGAAGTCTCCCGTTACGAGATTCATAGATATTTCTATGTATATTTTTTCTTTTTTTCTGGGCAAAAATTAGGTATTAGGTATTGCGCTATAAGAACCTTGTTATCTAGTTAAAAACGTAATATTGTTCCTATCAATTGCTTGTATAAATACAATAAATTTTGATTTTTTTTTTCTTTCAAAATATGTGTCAGTTTATAGAATATACTTTAGCTAGTAACTTCATGAAGCGAGATTGTTGAAAGATGTTTTCAAATAATAAATAAACCTACGGAAGTTCAACTTAAACTTTCATATATTAATTTTGTCAATATTTAGGAATTAATGTCTAGCTTCGATGAAGTCATTAATGATCCATTTGGTAAAAAAGTACTTATGTATTTAATTGCACCACGTAATACTAAACATTTACAATATCAACTTATTCAATTAATGAAATCAAGTGACAAATTAAATACAAGGTAAGAAAAAATTTATTTTCTTAGAAATTATACTCTATTGTTCTTATATTTAGTAAAAAAGATGCTGATATTCGTCAACGTGAATTATTTGATTTTTGCAAATCATATTTTTTGGAATTTTTTACAACAAATATTCTTTTCTCATTAAAAGATGGTTTTCATGGTTTTATGATGACCGAAATGATAGCAAAACTTTCACGTAAATAACATATTATTTTTTTGTCTTACTATTTCATATATATATTCTATTTAGCTGAAGATGATTTATCTGCATTTTATACAGCATTAAGTACCGTATTAGGTGAATCAACTGTTGAAGCACAATCCGAAACAAATCTTATTGAAAATCAAATAGCTCATAATGTTTTAAGACATTTAATTATAGCTGATGGAAAAAGACAAAAAGCAAATAAACATAAAAAAAGTAAAATATTCTTTAACGAAAAAAACCAAATCTTTTATCTAAATAAAATTTGAATCGATTTAGCACTTCTTTCAACAATATTATCAACAATTTCACCTGATACATTACGTACATGGATATTATGTAATCGTGGTTGTTTTCTATTTGTCAAGTAAATACATGATTTTTGTTTTATTGAATATATTTTTAATTTATCGATTATATTTAGCATGCTTGAACATGGTCAACCGGATGAATGTGAAAAAATTCGATCATTTCTTGTACCATCTGCTGTTGAAACACTCAAACGGCAAGCGTTTGCCGGTTCTAAAATTCTTGTTGAAAAATTGTTACCGTCTTCTTCTTAAAGAAAATAAATATGTTTTTCTAATGTTGGATTAGAATAAGAAAATAATAAAACAAACCATTAGTAACATTATTATTTCAGTATTTATATTTTATTTCTATAAAAAATCGATTTAAACACGAGGGTAGCTAGCCATTGTGGCAATACCACATTGATTGTTTTTATTACGACTCATCCAAATATAACCATCTTGACCCCATGAAGTACCCCAAGAATTTTTAACAATATAATAAAGTTGACTATCAGTAGCATCAAAACCAACAGCTAATACACCATGATCAAGATTTGTTGATGAACAATTTTGTTCGTCGTAAACACCGGATTTATAGAATTGAAATGAAGGATGTGAAGCATCTATAGCAACTGAAATAGGACCAATGATTGCAATTGCATATGCCAGAGCAGCTTCATCTTTAGATGTAATATCACGAAAACCCTAGAATATCATAATTATTATTATCAAACGGAATTCATTTTTGATATTATTTACCGTTGAATTAGCACCAATATTAGTACGATTAAATCGACATTTACCATCATGTGCTTCATATGGATAACTTTCTTCAGTATCAATACCACCATTAACTGTAATATATTGAAAAGCTGAATCCATAAGACCACCATTACAACCTTGATTACCAAAACTACTTGAACAATCAATTAAGTTTTGTTCCGAAAGTGAAATAAGTTGTGTTGTTTGAACAAAATGTTGACCTTCCAATGAACCTGTTGCTGAAAACGCCCAACATGAACCACATTGACCTTGATCTTTAACTGGTGTGACAAAACCTTCTTTTCTCCAATCTATAATATTTACTTATTCAAATTCTATAAACGAGACAAAATAAAAAAAACACTCATACCAACAGCACGTGGAACAATAACATCAGATGGAACAACGAATGCTTGATGATCTAAATTATTATTTTTGATTTTATTCGGCATTTTAAATCCATTCATTTGCTTTTTAAATTCTTCATGAGTCTATTACAATAAAAGTAAAAATGAGAGAAAAAAAATATTCGACATACTAAATCACCGAATCGATTCATTCCTAATGTATAACTATGAATACCTAAATCAGCTTCGAAATTATGTTGGCGAATTTTAACTAAATGACTTTCCCAAATAGTTCGACTATAATATAGAAAAACATAAAATATTACAAGAAGACTCTTTTAATCTACCGAGTTATTTCTTCTTCGATTGATACATATTGTTTTTTATGAATACGTTTAAAAAGAGACCATGAATTATTGAGTTTTTCATCCAATATTGATACACAATAAGTACTTAGAAAAACAGTAAACAAAATAATACATATTTTCATCATCATTTTGCTTTATTTTTACTAACATAATAATTCTATGTATTTATATATATATCATTTTTTCATAGTCATTTTAGTTGAAAATGATAGCATCATGTTTATCATATTATTTCAAAGATAAGAAACAAAGTATGATGTCATCTGTTTTTATCTCGTCGTATTGACAAAGCATTTGTAAGCAATGATATATGACAATCAATATATACAATAATATGTTGTATTTACATAATACTCGATTTAATAAATATGTCATATAAAAGTATTTTATTAATAAAGGCTATACTATATTATTTGAGAAGAAAAATAATCTAAAAGAAGTGACGTAGGTTTATTAAATATATATAACATGTCATATTGCATTGTGTCTATTTTTACAACTAATATAATGAAATAATAAACAGTGTATTCAATTTTTAAATTTTTTTTTATTGTTATCAAAATAGAATATCTTTCATTTGATTATTTAATTTTACGTGTCAAACCATAATAGAACATGTATTTGTCGTCTACTATTTTCCGAATCATATTACAACTGTATACGGAAAGAAAATCTCATATAGTTCTTATGCAAATAGTATAGCTGAAGAAGAAGAAAAAATAATAATAATAAAAATACTGACTATATTTTGTTATTTATGTCACATAAGATCAACTTTATATATACACCATGTTGGCTATAAATTGGTTAATCGCAGACACAAAAGTCATAAACATATATATTTAGTGAGAGTTGACATCGTAGTATATCTTCATGTCTGCTGGAAACATGACTTCATTATTGAAATTATGTTCTGTCGATTTGTGTGAACGTTCAGCTCTAGCCGTATGTGAGTGTCATAATAAAGATTTATGTAATGATCATTTTATGGAACATACTACTCAATTGATTTCTGTAGTCAACGAAACAAATACAAATACGGATCAGACTAAAAAACCATCAATGGAAAAACGATCTTGTTTGACGATTCTTAACAAATGGTGTAAAAGTGTTTATCAAAATGTGAAACGTTCGAATATTGAAAACAATCAACAAATCGAGCTTGGTGAATTAGAAGTTAATTTCAATGAATCAATACAAAATAATACGATAGTAGAAGATATTTCAAGCAAGATATCACAACAAAATCTCTTTCCTTTTGAACAGCCCTATCGATCTGTTCAAGTAGTTAGTAAAAGTTCTATATCTATGGCTTGTAGTAATAAATATTTATTAATTGAACAAAAACCTTATCTATGTTTACTTGATCAAACTTTAACTATTGTTAAACAAATTCCATGGCCATGTGAATATGTCAATATATGTTGGGCATCAACACTCAATCAGTTTATTTTAGTTACAAAAAAAAATATTTTTACTCTTGATGAAAATACAATGGAACTTCAAGAATGTACAATTGTTCATCATAATAAAAAAGATTGGTCATGTGCTGCATGTTCTGATACGACTTTATACTTATCAACTATAGATATGTCTGCATTTTTGTATGAATATACTCTTCATCCATCAATTGAATTCGTTAAAGAATGGCATCCATTAGCTATTTGTCCACTATACGAATCTATTCTTACTTTCAGTTATAGAAATGAAAAATTAGCATTTATTATTTGCAATGCTCATACCTTTCAAAATCGTCTTGATCTACATTCATCAATTACATTCGAAGTTTTGTGGTCAATTCCACTGAGTATACTTGCTCGATGTTGTTCGATAAATAATGATCAATGGATCATAATAAATGCTTTGGAAACTCAACTTTTACATATTTCTTCTGATGGAAATATCTTACAAGACTATAGAAATATATCATCATCGATGAATCCTATAGTAAATGCTATTCAATGGAGTAACGATACTATCGTCACTGCTACAATAAAAAGTCTCAACTTGCATAAACTTTCATAAATCGCTATCAATTGCGAAATACGATGGGAACGTAAGACTACGATCAAAAATATATGTGAACAGTCAAAATATGTATTTGAGAATATATAGTCTATGCTTGCATTTTTATTTTAAGTGCTATATATACATATTCAGCAATGAGTTCATGAACATATAAATGAAAAAGTAGTTTTACTTTTATAGCATTTATGATGTTCTATCAGCCGATATATATATGACTGACATTTCTTATAGAATATATAGAAATTTGTCGGATTTCTATGTCACGATTCGTAATTAGGTCTAAGTAGCGTAAAAAATTCCAGGTGAAAGAAGAAAAACTACATTTCTCTCTCAATTCCCAATTATACCTATTTTACCTATCGGATGATCGCATCATTAATTGTAGCAGAAGAAACATGATTTTCACTTTTTTCAACTCCATTAGGTGTGAATGAAATTGACAAATTCTTCACTGACTATTACAATTAAATAAATATTTTCTATTTTCTTATTCTAAACTTATTCATATCTTATCTTCTTTTTGCAATACATTCTGCTCTAGTTATTCATTCTATGTGGAACGGAAAAAATTACTTTTGCTATGTTAAGTGACAAGATTGAGTATGACATTTTTTATTTATGAAGTACATGGTTATTTTTGACATATGAAAGATATTTAGTACCATTAACAAAAATCTTTTGTGTCTATTCAATAGCGTAGAGAATAATAATGATTATAATGTTCATATAACACCTTCTTTTTACCTTAGAAAACACTAATGATGAATGATGATCAGATTGTAATTATTTTGGTTATTATAAAAGTTGTTATACTTGCATTAATATCTATTGGATCAATTTTATATGCTTTACCACTTTGTTTCAATCAACGTTTTTATACTTCTATTCATCTGTTTACTCTTAATATATGTATTACTATATTTCTATGTGCTACATTTTGGATGATTTATTTTTTCATGAACACATTTTATTCGAATATCTTATGGACTGAACAATCATGTTTATTAATACTTTATTTGCAAACGATGGTTAATTGTCAATTTCTTTATGCTTTATGCATTGTTTCATTAAATCGATTAATTGCTATTTTAAATCTACATAAAAGATTATTTCGAACAAAAACATGGATTATTAGATGCATTATTGTTCAATGGATAACTGGAATACTATTGCCATTACCTCAGTTTGATTCAAGTCTTATGGTACTTATCTTGTAACAATTAATACATATATCTATTTGTTGATCTTTCTTTTTAGCATTGTTTAATATCAGGTCTTGACCTTAACTATCAAATATATGCATTATGTATTAGTGGCATATTGCCTGCCATACTGTTAGCTGTGACAAATATTATTATTTTTAAGTTTGTTCATCATTCAACACGTCGTGTTCAACCAATGAATAATAATGATAATACTATATTAGTTACTACTCTAAGTCAACGTTATATCCGTTTATTAAAACATATAATTTTTATGTTTGTAATATTAATTTGCGGGTGGATACCTGCGTATATTGTCGGAGCAATTGATTGGGATGGAACCGCTATATCTTATGTTGTATTTCATGGTATTACAATGTTACCATGTATAAGTTTAATCATCAATGTAATTGACTTATTTATTTTTAATCGTAAATTACGAAAATATTTTCTTAACATACTTCGTAATAATCGAAACTAATAACAATAAATAGTTCTATATTGTTTTATTGAATAAATAAATGAGACACTATTTTTGTTCATGTTTCTTTTTTGTTAAATATACTTTGGCCATGAGAATGTGAAACTTAAATCTCACAAGATCATAGAGTCATTGGAATAACTATTACTAATACAAAAATTGTATGAAAAAATATTGAAGCTTATATTTCTGTTATTATGACGATGCTAAAAGTCTAATTATTCGAAAGATATTCAAAAACTCATTGTAAATTTTTATAGGTATACAGATTGTCTCTATTCCATTCTATAATGTTAATTAGACAGGTGTAAGTAGGACCACATCCATTTTACTGAAACTAGTTTGATTACGGATATGTTTACAATACTCACATCCTGAATTAGATACGCACATTGAATGTTACAGGAAATCAAAAGTCTTATTATTTTACGCCTATAAGATTATAATTATATATTCAACTATGGAAATTCATTACTGAATACTTGGAAATATATCTGTTAACTGTTCACCTTGAATAGTTTCACAAAGAAATATTTAAATACCAACAATCGATGTGTTTAATAATTGAATTTAATTAATCGAAAAGAATGTGAAAAAGAATATTTAACAATTAATGAGTATAAATTTAAATAATATCTTGTTCTATAAAAACAATATTGAACAGAAAAATAACAGTGGTCCAGAATTTTTATTTTGCATAGTTAAATTCTCATTTGTTCAACAAGCCATAGAAATATTTACATCTTCTAAATCATTCTAAACGAAAAAACCATTCATTGAAATATAACATATCTCATCAACTCAGTTGTTATTTAGCAACAATTATTCTTTCATTTGGTATATGTGGAAATATTCTTAATTGTCTTGTTTTATCACAACCAATTTTTCAAAGAAATTCATGTACTTTTCTTTTTTTTTGTCTCATTAATTATTGATCTTCTCCCTCTTGTATTTGGTATTACTACACGTTTTATGTCAGCTTGGAATATGGATCCAACAAATACAAATGATTGACTTTGTAAACTTCGTGCATTTATTGTATTTACTTCAAGAACTCTCACAATATGGATAATTATGTTAGCAACATATAATCGATGGTTATTATCATCATGAGATCTTTGTCGATAACAAATGAGTACGTTAAAAAATGCAAAGCTATACTCATATGCTTTATTGTTATGACGCTAATAGTATCAATGCACTATTAGCATGTTATGGAAAACATATTGTCTGTTGGTTTATAACTGAGTTAACATATGCAATTATAACAATTTTTATTTCATTAATTTTAATGATTTAATATACTCAATATCGAATAGAAATTAAAGCTGTTATAATAGGTCCAATGAGTTTTGAAAAACTGATTGTCATTTACTTCGTATGTTATGTATACAAATTCTTCTTTTAATCATATTTTGTATTCCACAAACTATACGAAAATTTTATTTTACATCTCATTCAGTTTCTTTCAAATCTAATTTTCAAACTACTATTGATACTTTTTTGTATGATATTGAATTATTACTTGCTTTTATTACTAGTGGTATGCCATTTTATATTTGTACATTATCAAGTAGAGGTGTTTTTTGAAAAACGTTTTTAAATCTGGTACGAAAATATATGTAGTAGAATTTTATTGTTGTTAGTATATGAGTTTTTTGTAATAAATACTGCAATGTGTATCTATAAGAGTAGCTCATATAAACATATATTAATCTATTTAATCTTAGATAGAAGCAATCGAGTATAGAATCTGTCCAATGAAATCCGAGAATTTTGGATCTATCCAATATTGCAATAATACTATACAGATATATGGAAGAAAATCACAAACAAAATTGATTATTTGATAAGTGTAATATTTAATCATTGCTTTACATTTAGACCTATGTTTAAGATAAATGGATATAAACAATCAACTGTATGTCAATTCTTACCTTATAATTTAAAAAATCTTTTTATGTATTATAACAATATGAATTGATCTTTAATACTTTCTGTTTTTCACAGAAGTTTTTCGGCATATTTTTTATTTCGTATATATCTTAATATAAGTAAATGATAAATCCTTACATTTTTTTTAAAAGATGGGCTTTGAAAAGCTCTACAAGAATGATAACTACAAACTTACTTTCAATTGTGCTAAATGTTTTTCCACAATAAAAATGAAGAATCTGTATGACATTGCTTTGAGTCCATTAAAATGTAAGACTTTATCATTTACTTACAACAAGATACAGACGAAAGAAACAATGTCGGAAAACGTTTAGTACACCCGGTGTCAGTCATTCTTACCTACCGATTTTTTCCTCCAAAACATGTAAAGATATACTGTTGCCTGTAAGGGTGCGAGTGTGGCTAAATAAAGATAAATATCTATATCCACAACCCACACCCACACCCATTTACTGACAAAATAAATCTAAAATGTATGCGTGACATAGATCTAAATATTTAAATATTATATCTATTTATCAAGCTCATATATTACTTAGAATATAATGAACATTTGTACAAAAAAGAATGCTCTTATTATTCTAGTTATATCAAGACAAAGTTTTGAATTAGATGTAATCAAAAATATTAAACTAAAGTCGTTTTGATATTCACTGACATACTATTTAGTGTTTTAGCTTCGTACAATCCACGTGCTGATTTTTTAATAATTAAAAATCCTTGAATTAACTATAATGATAGAATTTAGCAAAAATAATATTTTAGAAAGGAACAAAAATTGAAATCATGTTAAACTTTTTTCAATACTGCCTTGAAATGTCTTCTTTTTTGTCAGTCAGTGTCATGCTTTCATATAGTTGTTTGATATATTCATTCATCTAATATGTTATCTCTAATTATAAAGACAAATAGACAAGAAAAACTATAATAAGCAGTATTTTATTATAAAAAAGAGCAGATGAAATTTATATATTGTGTGTTTCTTCCACTATATACTTATATTCCACTTCATTTTCACTCACTTCCATCACAAATATTCTGAAGAATTATGTGCAATACAGTTCTCTCTGACCAGTTTTATTTGTATGGTAAATATAGTAGTGATCATAGTGTTTTTTTTCATTCATTTGTTTCAAATATGCTTATTTGCAATTATCTCTTTGCAACACTTTTATATAGCATCATAGTGTTTATCATGTCATTGTTAAGTGGAAAAAGAATTGAAAGAAACAAGAAATAACAACCAAGTCAAACACTTTTTCTCGGTGTCTCATACATTTGGCCAAAAAAATAAAAGAATGTGAGCTCTTTATGTTTTGATAGCATTATCTTGTTAAATATTTGCAAATTGTAATGTATACGACAATATAATTATTTCCAATTTTCGAGTCTTCAATTACATCAAACATGAGAGCAGAACGAAAACAAATTCCTTGGAGATTTTTTTTCTTCGTCAAAATACGTAGAAAAATTTCTTTTCGCGGATTATTTTAGTCACTGACACTCAGGCAAATATTTAAACATTCTTTTTTTGTTTATTGCTAAGAAACATGTGAATTGATCCTTCCTGTTTTTTATAATAATATCTGCGACTGTTAACGAAAAAGACGCTGTTGTCCATTTCAAAAGAATACAAAAAAAATCCAAATAGGAAGTAGAGACACTATAAAATGAGCTACTTTTAATGGGTTTTTTCATTCGCAATTTTTTTCAAACTACTCAAATACAGCACATTCATATTACAAATAACAAATAATCAGCCAATGGCAACTAGCAAATCGGATGACATAAAAAGACCTGAGCCAGCATCTAGACTCTCCAAAAATGTCCTCCTTATTTGGTTGGATAACAACATTAAAGATAATAATGCTGATTATAGTAATACTATCAAGCATTTAAAACGTATAATTAACAACGTAAACACGTTTACAAATGGTAGACAATGTGTTGAATTTATTCAAACCATTACCAATACCAATGTATGTATGATTATTTCTGGTTCATTTGAGAAATATATTGTGCCTTATGTGCATGTCATGTCCCAAGTAGACACCATTTTTATTTTTTGTGACAATCAAGAATGGCATAGACAATCGACCAAAGACTGGCCTAAAGTCAAAGGAGTCTTCACAGAAATAACACCAATTTATAAAGCTCTTGAAAAATCTGTTCACTTTTGCGAGCAAAACGCCACCGCAATCAGTTTTGTGGCATTAAACAAAAAGTTGGATCAATTAGATCCATCATTTATGTATACTCGGATCTTGAAAGAGATCTTATTAACCATCAACTTCGAAGACAAACATATTAAAGAATTTATTACTTATTGTCGTGAAGTATTTGTCGAAAATGAGTATGAATTACATAATATTGAAAAATTGGAAAGTCATTATCGTAATCACACACCGATTTGGTGGTATACTTATCAATGCTTTTTATATCCTACGCTCAATAGTGCATTGAGATCAATGGATTCTGATATCGTTGTCCGCATGGGTTTCTTTATCAATGATCTGCATCTTGATATTCAACGACTACATTCGGAACAATTTCATGGCCATCAATCAGGTAAAACATTTACAGTTTATCGTGGACAAGGTCTTTCGAAAGAAGATTTCGACGAAATGACAAAAACTAAAGGTGGACTTCTTTCATTTAATAACTTTTTATCGACTAATAGAAATCGTGATACTGCTCTTGAATTTCTACAACAAGTTGCTACAAATCCTAATCTTGTTAGAATTCTATTTGTTATGTCAATTAATCCTAGTGATCCAACAACTCCATTTGCTTCTGTTACACATATTGGCCATTTTCATATGGAAGATGAAGTTCTCTTTTCTATATATCCCATTTTTCGTATTGGAGATATTAAACCAGTACATGGAAATAACTATCACTATGAAGTGAATTTAACATTGACTACTGACAATGATTAAGATCTTCGTGCTCTTAGCGATGAGATCAGGCAGGAGACCTTTCCACATTCGACAGGATGGTACAGATTGGGATTATTACTGATAAAAACGAGTCAATTTCTCAAAGCTCAAGAAATTTATCAAGTTTTACTTCATCAAGCATCAAATGAGAATGACAAGGCGAATATTTATCATCAACTAGGTCAGATCAAACATAATCTAGGGGAATATCAACAAGCACTTTCTTATTATGAAAAAGCTGTTACAATTCGACAGCAATCACTTCCTTCCACTCATCCAGATTTAGCTATGTCCTGTAACAACATCGGTACTGTGTATTACAGCATGGGTGATTATCCAGAAGCACTCTCTTATTATGAAAAAGCTCTTGCAATCCAACAACAATCACTTTCTTCCAATCATCCTCATTTAGCTATGTCCTACGACAACATCGGTAATGTATATGACATCAAGGGTGCTTATCCAAACGCACTTTCTTATTATAAAAAAGCCCTTGCAATTCGACAACAATCACTTCCTTCCGATCATCCTAGTTTGGCTTTGTCCTATAACAACATCGGTACTGTGCATCACGGCATGGGTGATTATTCAAAAGCACTTCATTATCTTGAAAAAGCTCTCGCAATTCAGCAACAATCACTTCGTTCTAATCACCCAGACCTGGGTACTTCCTACAATAACATGGGTACTACGTATAAAAGTAAGAGTGAATATCCAAAAGCACTTTCTTATTATAACAAAGCCCTTGCAATCCAGCAACAATCACTTCCTTCCAATCATCCTAGTTTGGCTATATCCTATAAGAACATTGGTACTGTGCATCACAGCATGGGAGATTATTCAAAAGCACTTGCATCTCAAGAAAAAGCTCTTGCAATTAAACAAACATCGTTTCCTTCCAATCATTCTGATTCAAATGCTTCCTATGACATAATCGGTTCGATGTATTACAGCATGAGTGATTATCCAAAAGCACTTCCTTATTACGAAAAAACCCTTGCAATCCAACAACAATCACTTTCTTCCAATCATCCTCATTTAGCTATGTCCTACGACAACATCGGTAATGTATATAACAGCAAGGGTGCTTATCCAAAAGCACTTTCTTATTATGAAAAAGCCCTTGCAATTCGACAACAATCACTTCCTTCTCATCATCCTCATTTAGCTATGTCCTACGACAACATCGGTACAGTGAATCAAAGCATGCGTGATTTTCCACAAGCACTTCGTTATCTTGAGAAAGCTCTTGTAGTTCGACAACAATCACTTCCTTTCAATCGTCTTGGTTTGGCTGTTTCCTTTAATAACATCGGAACTGTGTATAGCGACATGCGCGATTTTTCAAAAGCACTTCATTATCTTGAGAAAGCTCTCGCAGTTCGACAACAATCACTTTCTTCTGATCATCTTCATTTAGGTACTTCCTATTACCGCATCGGTCAGGTGTATGGTAATATGGGCAACTATTCAGAAGCCCAATCATTTTATGAACGCGCTGTACACATTGGACAACAATCATTACCAAAAAATCATCCTACTCTTCAACTGTATGAAGAAAAACTCCAAATCGTAAGAACGGCATTAAGACTTCGCTCTGTATTTTTTTAAAAGCAAAATAAAATTTATGAAAAAGAAAATGGGTCTATTGAAACTCTATTCTTATTGAGAACACGATATGGTAGTAACACTCACCAGTAAGGTAAGTAATACGTGTTGAAAAGATGTATTGTAGAGGAGACCTTCACGATTATGTTATTATGTCGCACTAAGTAGAGTTTTGGTGTATTACGTAAGAAAGAGAGAAAAAATTTATTTTATCAATAGAAATGAGTTATCCTTTCTGTTCCAATACAAAAGAATAAGTCATACCATTGATAAATTGATCTATATTAAATGAATAGAATACCTATATATACCTATAAATGAAAGTAATTGAAGAGGGTGAGTGTGGGTGTTTGGAATTAATATATTGCTTACATCTACTTCCACATCCCATACTACTTGACAGACTAATAAAAGAATATCCTACAATATTGATCTGTAACTAAGAATAAAAACGTTTGTGAGCTTTTTTTAGTGACAGTTGAATAAAAGTATAGATCGGTCCCATATGAATAAAATCTTAGATTGTCTTCTATTCACAGAAAATAGTATCAGTCCGTTGGACCGATGCGTAGTGAAGACATTCAAATTTTTCTCTGTGGATTCAATACTTACTGGAGGTCTTATATATCAGTACTGATATGAAAATTATGCTGAAATTAAAAATATTATGCCTATCCTCAAGTATTCAAAATCATAGAGCACATGAATGAATAGTAGGAATAAAGCATGATATCAACTTTTTCTATAGAGAAAGTCTTGTATAATTCACCAATAATAAGAAAACTTCGAAAAGACTTATTTTTCATCATGTACTGATGATCATCGCTACGAAGGCAGAGATACATGTATGAATGACTCCATATTTAGTCTTTATTATGTTTTAACTATTCTTGCATCATTTTGTAAAAGAAAAATTCAATGATGTAATGAGATTTTTTCGGTTTTAAGCGTAGCCTCTTTATATTGTTTTACAGCTATTTCTTTCTCAGCGGAACGTTCGATATATATTTGATTCATCTCCTATATGTGACATTCTATATATTTATTTTAACATATAAATAATAGTATTTGTATTGCAAGGGTAATATGTGAAACATGAGAGTTTTAACGATACATACTGTTACTGTGCTAACATATATTACGGTAATATTGAAGAGCAAATAGATATAGTCAACACAATTACTTGTTTTTTTCTTATGGTTTAGACATTGATCAACATGTTATTCAAAATCGTAATGAGAAATATTTTAAAACATTACAATAAAAATTGCGTGTTTTTCTATATTATCAATTTAATAAAAATAAACAGGATGCAAAAGCTTTATAAGAAGAACAATAAAAAAGTAAAGATAATATATTTTATTGTGTACAGTAATCATTTTACTTGATATTAAACGACATAAGATTTTTTTTAAAGATAAGATTCTTATGCATATACGTAATGTAAAGAATTCTTTTGAATGTAAAAGAAAAACTAACAACATCGAAAAAAAAAAGATAAGAACACGAATGGTTTTATCTGTTATTCAATAATTATAAAGTGCATGGTGTGAGTTTAGTTGAATATTGAAACAAAGTAGTATTGCAAGAAGAAAAAAAAGAATCATTAATATGTTCTTCATCTTTTTTGGATTAATTCTTAGTTCAATTGGAATTGTCTCTTCTCATGTTGTAAGTCATAATCAATTGAATTACAATGATCGAGTCATTAATTTTGAAACTGTTGGAGGTATTGCGGATAATAGTTCATTAGATACATGTTGGGCTAATTCACATCTTCTTAATCAAACATTTGCATCAATGCAAAGTGGAGATACATTACTTATACCATCTAATAAAACATTTTGGTTAATGGGTGGTATTTATGCACGTGGTCTTGTTAATGTAACTATTCAAATTGATGGAATTCTTAAATTTTCTGATAATCAAACTGTATGGCCTCGTGATCCTCAAACACAACAAGTTCATGAATGTTTCTTTTTTGAACAATTAAATTATGTTACATTTACTAGTTCATTACCTGAAGGAAAGAAAGGTATTATTGATGGATCAGGTGCACATTGGTGGGGTTTAGTTGAATATTTATTAATTGCTGAAAATCGACCACGTTTAATATCAATCTATAATTCTACTAATCTTTTAGTTGAAAATATTCTATTAAAAAATTCTCCATATTGGACATTTTTAGCAAATGATATTGCTAATTTAGAAATTCGTCATACAGATGTTGATGCACGTGTCAATCCAGATATACATTATCATGATCATAATGAATTACAAGCTTTTAATACGGATGGTTTTGATATTGCTGGTACAAATGTATGGATACATGATTGTAATATATGGAATGATGATGACTGTATTGCAGTTAAAGAACAAAGTTCAACTAGTATTCATTCTCCTTGTAGTGAAAATATGCTTTTCGAACGTATTAATGCTTCTGGTGTTGGTTTAACTATTGGTTCTATTGGTCCATCAGCAAGTCATACTTGTGTTCGTAATATTACATTTCGTGATTCTACAATGTATAATACTTTTAAAGGTATATATTTAAAATCACGACCAGGAGCACTTGGACATACAGGTGAAATTACAAATGTTACTTATCAAAATATTCTTATTAATAATGCTTCACAATGGTCAATATGGATTGGACCACAACAAGCTGGCTATAAAGATGCTTGTTCACTTCTATGGCCTTTTGTACCTGGAACACATTGTCCTATTCCAGTTGGCATTACTTGGAACAATATTATTTTACGAAATATTACTATTAACGGTCCACAATTAAGTCCTGGTGTTATATTGGGAAATTCAACAAATCCAATGTTAAATATATTATTTGATAATGTACTTGTAACAAAACCTGGTATTCTTCCGTGGGGTACTCATTATTATGCTTGTGAAGGTGTAGACGGTATTGCACAAGGAAATACTGAACCACCACCACCATGTTTTAAAAGAAAACCATTTTAATTATATTTTTTTTTAATAGTTCTTTCAAAATAAATAATTATATCATGCGTCATTTTATCATTAATTGTAAAAGAAAATGTTTTAGTTTCTGAAGTAATACTTTAAAAATAGAAACAAAAGTTTTATTTTTCCTATATTAAATTTATATAGAACATTGATAAACAATGTCCAAGTATGAAAATACCTTTAGTATTAAATTTCAAAATAAAAATGAATTTTATCGATATTCTAATTTTTATTCTCTTCACCATTTTTTCTGCTTATTTACTATCGGTTGTCCCCTATACAGAGTAAAAAAAAACTCCTTTTTTTTTATTGACAATGTGCAACTTCAAAGGAAGAAAAAGAATGGAAATCAGTTTCTTTTCTTTTTTTTCTTTTTCTTTCTTCTTGAAAAACAAAATTGAGAATATATAAAAATAGTATTTTTTTAGGATTTCAATCAACAAATATATAAACAACAATGTCGGATTTAAAGTAAATTGACAAAGAAATTGATTATTCTGATTTTTTTTATTTCAAATTCTAATAGACAAAATTCACCTATGTTTAATAAATATTTTCAAGATCGACGTATTCGTCGATATTTAATAACTGCTGGATTAGTAAGAATTTATTTTTTTTCTCAAAACAGCTTATATAATACATATTCCTATAGATTAATCGTCATGGTGATATTTTACCTCCTACATCTGAACAAATTGCACGTGCACGACGAATAACACAACAACGAATTGCAGATAATCCGTAAAGAAAAATGTTTTTTTTCATATCAAATTTCATCATAAAATCATATATAATTTTTAGTACAAAACAAGATGATGATGATGGTGAAGAAGAACAAAGTCGAAATGGAACTAATCGTTCACCAAGACGTTCCCGTAAAGAAAAAACTAAAGTTTGTTATTGAACCTTGCTATCGAATGAAATTCAATATTCATTATAGAATTCAAAACCAATTCGACGAGGTGTTTCACGTAATTTATCAAGTATTCGTCGTTCACCAATATCAGTTAGTTTGTTAATTAATCATATATATAAATATATTTTTTTTCTAATATCTTAGACAGATCGAAAACGTTCGCCAAATCGTGCAAAATCTGCTCATCAACGACCACAAGATTTCTCAAGATATTTTATTAATAATTCAGCTAGAGCAAAGGTAATAAGTTTAAACTAACTAAAAGTAAATTATATATATTCTATTATTTTATAAATAAAGTCACCGACTAAAGAACGTTGTCGAGTAACAATGATGTATTACGGACCACAAACGAATTTTGATTATGATAATTGTTGGTTCCTACCACATGGCGATGAAATTACTGTTTCACAACAACATTGTGGTGGTGAAAATCTTATTGTTTTTAAAGGACATGTTAAACCTAACGGTAAAATTTGATAAAGTTTTTTTTCTTCATTCTGTTTTTCAACTAATATATTTATTTAGAAAGATTTGCATTTGATTCTCGACGTCATCCAGATTATCCATTTGCATTGGCTCTCTATGTAAATGGTGTTGCTAAGAGTCGAATATCAGTTTGTTGTGAATATAAACATAAACGTAATATACCATTAGATGGAAAAAATGGTCTATTTGGTATTTGTGATGTAAAAAAAGTAACACCATGTGAAAGGTTTATTACTGTTTTGTTTATTGATCTTTTGAAAATAAATTTCTTTTTTCTTTTCTAAGTTGTCAACTTCGACAACGTAAGAAACAAATACAATCAAATAATGATTCATTTGAAGCTCAAGCATCTCGTAATCAAAAATCAATTGTGCCACGTGTTTCATCGGAGAGACGATCTTCTTCTTCAACTAAAAAACAAAAACCAGATTCATCTCGTAATTTAGTAGTATTTAAACATCATTCTCCAGAAATATCTCGAACACCAACACCACCGTCTAAAGGTATCTAAAAATATGTGCCATATTTAACGTTATTAATGTATTCATTCTAGAAAAAAAAGTAAAAAGATCAGTATTATCTACTCAAACTGTACAGGTAAGTCTAACTTCTATGAAATAGAATAAATTCTAAGCATGAGGATTTTTACGATTGAAAACTAACAAAATAAAAAAATTCACTGTAGTTTGGCATTAAATTCAAGATAAGAAATTACTTAGACTGTAGATAGAGTTTACTGTGAAGTATGTCACATAAATTTTAAAGTATATTTGTTTCATACAAATATTAATTATTCACTATATTGTATTGTTTGCATGCTTTTTATTTCAGGATGACTCTATTAAATATGCTCATCATCCAGTTACATCACAAAGTAATGATAATGATGAAAGTTATACTTCAGATTTCGATGAATCGAATGATAATGATCTTCCAACATTGAATGATCGATATGTAAATTATCTATTCTTATTTTCTTTATAACACTATATTCTTTATAAATGAATAGGGTCGACCACGTATTTCTGAATCCAATTCCATTGGTAATATACAATTAATTTATGATTAAAAATAAATATTCTTTTTTAATTACAGACGATCAAAGACGAAGTCATACTTCATCAAGAAATTCAAGAAAACTTGGTTTTTCAGATGATGATGATGATGATCGTAGAACTCCAGTACCACTCGAAAGAAATCATACTTTTGATCGCTCAACAAAATTATCAAGTACTATGCCGAAAAAATTGGATTCTTCTGAAGATGAAGATAATAATCGACCATTTAAAATAATGACTGGAAAGAATAAAACTAATAATCGTACAAGACAATCACCACCTAGTATTCACAGAAAATCTGATCCTTCAGATGATGATGATGATCGTAGAACTCCGGTATTACTCGAAAGAAATCATACTTTTGATCGATCAACAAAACTATCAAGTACTATGCCGAAAAAACTTGATTCTTCTGGAGACGAAGATAATAATCGACCATCTAAAATAATGACTGGAAAGAATAACACTATTAATCGAACAAGACAATCACCACCTAGTATTCACAGAAAATCTGATCCTTCTGACGATGAAAATGATCATCGTACACCCATCGGAAGAAATAATAGTCGAGGTTATTCAAGAAAATCACCAACTATTACTCCGATAAAATTTGATTCTTCTGAAGACGAAGATAACAAACGATTTATTACTACAGTAACTGAAAAGACTAATAATCTTAGGCAAGCAAGACAACTACCGTCTACTACTATTCAACGAAAATCTGATTCTCCTGAAAATGATAATCAACTATCGCATAGAAAGAACAATAATTATAATCATTCAGAAGATGAAAATGATCATTATATACCTAAAACATCAACTGATAGAAAAAATATTATTGAAAGTCCACAAAGCCCTTTGTCCGATGCATCAAGAAAATCTAATGAAAATAATAATCGATTTTTATCAACAAAAACAACTGATCATGAAACTGATGATCGACGACCATTCTCAAGTTCTATAAATCGTAATCATAAAGAATCACCAGTTCGTCGCACATCAACAAGTTCAACAGAAGTACCAAATGATACTCACAAGAATAATTTCGATTCAACTTTTGATACAAAATCATGGTTTACTGATGAAAGTTCTGATCAAAAATAATATGTATATTAAACATTGAAAACATCCTAATTTAAAAAAAAATACTTCATTTTATTTTTAGAATAACTATAATAAATAAAAAGTGGAAGATAAAAATATATTTCTATTACGTAATTATTGCAAACTTATTATGAACTTATTTTTTACGTTTGTTTTCTTTTACTAACTGCTTATTTTCTTTTATTGCATTGGAAAGAATCATCATTATATAAATATCTTTTTTTATAAAAACTATATTGTATATCAAATAAATATTTTATTAACTTCTATTTTGATTTAGATATGCACTTTTTTTTTAAATATTTACTACTAATCCAATTCAATTTTATTAATGATTTTATATTACAATAAAATCAATACATATATCAATAGTGCATGATCGATAAACATAGTAGGCTATATCTTCATTCAAAAGTCTATAAGAGTATCATTGAAAAACATTTCAATAAATGGATATTTTCATGTGCATACTATTGGTATTTAATTGCTTCGGTAGCTGTTCTTAAATGAGTGAATAATCAATTAATATCGAGTCTCAAAACATATTGTATTAGTCAAAGTGAGATTTTCATTTATATTCTTGATTTTTTTTTGTCTGGGAGTTCTATTGTTAAACGGTACATCTCTGAAAAATTTCAAGCGTTTTCTTTCATATATTTGTATTCGTTCTAATAATTTGAAGATGTGGGTATAAGTGTAGAATGGATACCCACACCCTCAATTTGGCAATGGCGCAAAACGACGAACAGAAAGAAAAAAATATAACGAACAAATCGTCTTAAAAAGATGATTTAAGTTGGAATAGACCAATCATATTGGTTACTACATTTCACTTTTTTCAGTCTGTTTGAGGTCAAAGTAGTGAGATGCAAACAATGAACAATATATGTATATATTGCTCTGTCGTAGAGAAAAGCATCACAGTCATAATAAAATATGAACCGATCAAATATTCATCTTCTGGATTTACCTGATGAAATATTACTTATTATTTTGAAGAAATTGAACAATATGGATGTACTTTATTCGTTATTGGATATTAATAATGGACGACTTAACATTCTTGCACAAGCAAACACATTCACCAACATTCTGAAGCTACCCAATATGTTTTGGGATCATTCTTTAAGCGATCGATTCTACATCGATATATTACCAAAAATTCATCACAACGTGAAATGTTTTATTTTTGATTCAGATTATATGAAACGTTTTCTTCTTGCCACTGACTATCCGAATCTAACTGAACTTAAAATTCTTCATTTCAATGAGCAATTCGCATTAGGTTATCTTATAAGTAAGCATTTAATATGAATTTGATTAGTTAAGAAATAATAAAAGTGTTAAAGAGAATAGATTATAATATGTTTCATTTCATTGTTTTCTCCTTTAGATGAACCATCACTTCGATCTATTTTCCAAGAACAAATTACAAACCTTACGCTAATCAATGATGATGAAGAGAATAGGATAGATCCATTGATAAATTATACTACAAACGTATATAGTCATATCTTGACCTTCTTCAAAAATCTAAAAGAATTAAGTATCATGGGACCATCTCCTATACCAATGTATCCAAGTTTATCACTTCGTTATTTGCCATCGACTACTTTTTCATCTCCGATTCTTACTCATCTACATATCAATGTGACTACTTTAGATGATTGTTTTTGTTTACTTGATGGTTGACTTAGAAAATTGACAACATTGTGTGTTAATGTCCATTATATAGACGAAAATTCAAGAATTGTTCACAATACGGTAAGTTTTTGCAAATAATTTTATTTATGACATAAAGATTATTACTGTTTTAATGGAGTTAACGATTGATTTCTAAAAATTCAAATAAGAGATCGAATGGTTAAGTTTTATGTTGACGAGGTCAAAAAAACCAATAAATGTTGATGAACATAAAAGAATTATCGACATTAAATTTGTATTTACTAGTAATTTGAATTTAATAAAGGTATCAATAAAATTTTTTGCCAGAAATTATAATTATGTAATATTTTATCAAATAACTTTCATGAATGATTAAATCTTATCATATGTGAATGATCATTAGCATAGAATGGAACGAAAGTTTATCTATAAAAACAATTGTTCCATTAATCGAGATATGATTGGAAGTTTGTCTGAAACTTCAGTTGTTTTTTGAACACTCGTTTATTATGCTGTAAAATGAGATAGTCAAACTAATGGATTTGTCTTTTTTGATCATTCACAGATAGAATATAGATCATACACTATATGTAAAATAATGATGCCTCTGACTTGATATTGTGGATTATCATAAAAACATTTCTTTCTTTTTGTAGGATAAATTATTTAATCTAAAATATTTCTCATTAAAATCGTTCGATCGATTTAAACAATATGATAAAATTCTATCACTTATTCATCGTATGCCATATCTGGAAAAATTAACTTTATATCTTCATATAAAAGGTCGAAATACAGTGATTGATGGTACTTTTATTCAACATGATATTTTGGATTATATGCCTCAACTTCATTCATTCACTTTCTGTATTTGTACTTATGTGAAAGCGGTTGATTTATCCTACAAGTTATCTAGTGAAGATATTCAACAAACATTAACAAATACTAAACAACAACAAGTCACAAGTATAGTCAATTATATTCAATACTGGTTCGATTCAAGCTGGATGGCTGCATGCTCGATTTTCTCACTTCCTTTTCAATTTGATTATCTCAAACATCTTGGCAATAAATTTCCAAATATTGTATTCAGTTATGTTACGTTTTTATTTTTAGAAGATACTAATCCGTTCCAACATGAATTTTTCGTTCGAATTTCCCGATCATTTCCATTACTGAAGTATCTACATATTTGTAATGGAGAACCTCAAGTATTAGATGATCTTGTGACATGTTCATCTGACAATTGTCAATGACACTCAATTATTGAATACCATCATCTGACTAAACTCGATATGATAAATGCACATCGAGATTATGTTGAACAATTTCTAAATGAAACAAAGGCATTCGTACCTTGTCTGACGGAATTGGAAGTCTCTGTTCGTCATTTAGAAGCTGTAACAAAAAACTTTACAAGAAAAGAAACACGACGCAATTGTGCTAATGTGAAACAAATAGATACGCTAGATGAATTGACACGTACGAAAGATGTTTTTCTTTATTTTCCTTCGTTGTATCAGTATATAGATGTATTCTCACTTTGATTTATTTAATAAAAACATGATAAATATTGTATTTATAAGCTAATAATATTTCTCAAATAGAAAGAAATATCAACTATTAATGATGAGTTCTCATTTTATGATGCTGCAGAGTTATAGGTAAAATGAAAATGCTCCTTCCGCAATTGTTTGAAGACATACAAAAAGATTTGATTTCATTTTAAATGTAAAAATACTCCTTACTTTTTCAATCTAATTCAAATTAGAGAATAAATAAACATTAGTTTCTGATTGCGATCGATCTAAAGTTCAAAACAATTTCATTAAATTGATTTGATGTATATGTTGTATCAAGTTGTTATCCGTCTCAGCTCACTTAAACTACTTTCCTTGGTATCTGATTCATTTTCTTATGGTTTTGAACGAATTGAAATTACTTCAAAATAGACTAGAAGAAAAACTAGCATCTTTAACTTGCTGCCGTTTTAATATACTATCAGGTCAATGAATGTCAAAATATTTCATCTTTCTATTAATATACGATTATCTTATGATGCAGTTGATAGAAAATCTCGTAAAAAAGAAGGAGCATTTTTTGTACAAGTACTTTCTGAAAAAGAAATTGTTGTTGTATCCAAAGCACCATCATCAAAATTATCGGGTTCTGGTCCGCAATCTATTCAATCATTCGTACGAACGCCATCATAACAAACACTTTTTTGTTTAGTCTATTATTTTCTTTTTTTTTCTTTTTTGTATTGATCTAGACTAAAAAAGACTATATGAACTGTTGATTGACAAACATCTCATGTATGTAAATAATGATAAAAAGATATATGAAATCTATAGATTTTTTAATTATATATATATATATATATACTAGATTATTATAATGTAATTCTTCCCACTATGAGATAAAACAATTGATTTAGTTTTTAATAAAATATTAATTATTTGTAACTTCTATTCTTTGAATCTAAAATTTTGCTTATCAACTGTTTGATGGAGAAATATGCTTAAGATTATTCAATATATTTTTCTATAAAAAAAATTTTAATTGAAATAAGTCAGAAAAACAGTAATCTTAAATAAGATCTTCTTCTGTCAAACGGCTGTTTACCGCATCAGTTAAAACTATACACATAATATGTACCAAAATAAGATTAAATTAGCACAATCATATTTAGTGAAAAAATTGTAAAGAATATGATTGAGTACAAGTATCCGAAATGAATTATTCTCTTAGTACTTCTTTATCTTTCCGATTTAACAATATCATACACATCAATGTCAATGCAACGCAAATATCATATCATATTATTATCAAAAACGTTACTGGTATCTGCTCACTAGAATAATAGCAAAAGTCACGTGAAAATACAAAGAATATAAGATAAAAACACCTTTCTATTTGATTATTAAGATGATATATATTACATATGACAGCTGTTTATTACCTTAACTGTCTGCTGACTTTGCAAATTTTAATTTGCTAATTATCATCGATCATTCTAATTTTAGCCAGACAAATATATCATGGTTAACAGTATAGAATCTCTTTATCAATGTCACGTTTGAAATATTTTTTTCTATCTCACAACACATACGGCACGAACGAACTATCGTATATGACCAAAAGCTATTAATAAAATGTGAATTTCATTCATCAAATTTTAAATGTTTAATCAATAAATGATAGAACAGAAAAATAGATGAGTATAAATGTACATTTAAAAGAAGCAACAACAAAAAAGAAATGAAACAAAGACACCTCCCGCGTGTACAGTTATAAGTTAATTTCCGTTACAATAAATGTTTGTTTTTCTTAGCATACACGGCACTGCCGAAAAAGTGCTAATATAATTAAAAAAAAAGAGGAGAAGAAAAACGAGAGCCAAAATTCATCATAATTTTGTTGTAAATAAATATTGATATCCCAAAGCATAGAATAAACTTCAGCAGCGCAGCAGCTAAGATGAGAAATAAAAACAAAAAAAAAGAATCACCGGCTGTACTATTCGTTGTTGTCGTGTGTATATATATATATATTTTTGTTTGTAAGATATTTTTTTCTGCCACCGGACAAAACGACAACAATAATAACAACAAAAGCTAGTTATTAGAGAAAAAAGAAAAAGAAACGAAGCTTCTTTTGAATGTAGCCAGACATTCGGAGGAAACGAAAAGAGTAATATACATGAAACAAAATATAAAATTGTCTTTTCTCTTTTTAAATCAATTGATCACTGTTCTATATCTGTTGAATTATTTAAAGATTGTTTAAGATTTGAAACATCCATGATTTCATCTTTATGATCAACTAATGAATCATTAACTAAAATATAAAAATATATTTTCTCATTCTTATAAACAATTTTTTTTACCATCATCATTAATCGTACTTTCGGTCATATCACGATAAAATGATTCAAGATCTCTATCATTTTGTCGTTGATCATCGGTATTATCCAGTTCATTTGTATCACTTGCACTTGAAATTGATGTCGCATTATTATTATTATTATTATTATTTCCTTTAAAAAAAGAAAGAAAGAATAAATATCATGCCTCATTACTCATTTATATTAAAAAAATATCACCACAAAAAATGACTAGGTAAATAATTTATTTCTGTCATGTGAATTACTGCGTGACGCCCATTCAAGGATAAAGTAGAAAGACATATAATGTTACATGTTATAGCAAAATTTTCAAGTAAAAAACTCTCTTTGCATGTTTAAATTAATTAAATGTTCTACTTCTGCATATTCTTACCATAAAAATCCGAGTGTTCATTATCTGAATAACATTCTTTAATAGATGATGTTGATGTATCAGTGGTTGTTGTTGGTGGTGATCGTGCAGGAAATTGTGTTTGTTGTGAATATGGTGTTGAAAATGTTGGAAATAAATTTTGTTGTTGTGATCGTATTGATGAGAATTGCATATGATTCATTTGTGTTGGATTATAAAAACGTATTTTACTTGGATCACTAATTGTTTTACATAGTTTTGTTTTATTATTTGAATTATTGTCACTATATGGATCAATACTAGCTTTTCGAGTTAATGCTTGATGTTGATTATTAACTAAATAAGCTCCATTGTTACGTTGTGGTGTTGATGTTATACAACTAAATGATGTTTGAATACTAGTAACTTCATTTGTTTCTTCAGTTGTTGAATAAATATTTATGGGTGATTTATTTGGACGACGTATTAAATTTGAGTTCATTAAACTATTATGTTGTGGTTCAGAATTAAATTTCATTAATGGTACGGAATTTGTTGAATGATTTGAATGATATAGACCTAATGAACTTTTCATTGGTCTAATCGATGATTTTATTGAACGACGTTGTGGTGTATGACTAAATGTTGATTGAATTGTTTTATATTCAATTTTACCTAATGATTGAAGCATAGCTGATAAACGTCCACGCCATTGTAAAACAATAACACGTTGATTATCAATAAATGCTTCATGTTTATAACAACGATCAAATAAACCAAGAAGACTATTACATATGTCTGGTGGAGAAGTTGTTGTTAATTGTTGATAAACTAAAAAGATAATGAGAATATTTTATTACAAAAAAATTTTTTTCGTAGTACTTTTTTGTAAAATTTGTAGAATTAATTCTGGTAAATCTTCTTCACTATTATTTTCAAGTTCAAGTTGTTTGGAACGTATTGGTGTTGATAATATTTCAGTTAATTGTCCAATAACATTTGATAATTCAATTTGTCCATTATCTATAACAGTCAGACATTGTTTTAATAATATTGAACGTTCTTTTAATTTTTTAATATTTAATAAAATTTTTGCACATGCACCATCAGTTATATTAAGTTTTTTTAATTGTTCCATGGTTAAATTCATCATCTGATCATATGTCATTTGAGAAAAGAATACATCATATTTATGTAAACGAAGATTCTTTAACCATTTTGGTACATCTTAAAATGAACAAAATAAAATAAAATAACATTTAGAAATTTATATTTACCTTTCATGCCTGTATTTGGTTGTAAAAATGTATTTCGTCCAGGAGTTGAATTAGCATCAACACCTAAATATTGTGATACATCTTCGGAATTTTGATTAGGTTTGATATTTCGATAACGAAGTGAATAGAATTGTCCTAATGGTTTGGACCTTTCATTTGTATGATTGAAATCATTCGTTTGTTCTTGAGATTCTTGTTCATCTTCATCACTTTTAGCTAATGTTGATCTGTGTTTAAATTGTTGATAATTTGAAGAACTTGCTGGTGCTGGAGCACTTAACTCACCTTTTACTAGCATACGAGCTGGAACATGAAGTGTTTCATGTTCAGGTATTGGTGATGATGCTGTTTTACCAACAAATGTATGTTTATTATTTGATTGTGTACGATCAATAAATGAATGTGAATGACTATGAAAAGATAATAAATTTGAAAATTGACTTGCCATGCATGGATGGTTCAGTTAAATCTACTCCACTATTATTTGTTTCAAGACGTTAATTGTTGACTTATTGATGTATGTGCACTTTCTGAAACGAAATTTTTTAATGGTTGATCTCTAGATCTTATTGATGAAAAACGTTGTAATGGTTGATGACAAGATTGTTGTTTTTCTGAAGGAGGAGGAAATTTTTTTCTTTGAATTAAATTACTTAATTTTGGTACATGAGATAATAATCGTATTAAACTTGAATTTGTTTGAATAAAAAAATATATTTGTTGACAAAAATTAATTAATTGTTGTTCTGTATAACTAAATTTTGTTGAATTAATAAGATTTAAATCAAGAAAAATTAAAACATCACGATAGGCATCGAGTAATTTTTCATTGATTGTTTTTGTTGATATCAATGGTAAATATAGTTGAAGTGTACATAAGATTTTATCTAATGAATTTGATAATAAACAATTAACAATGTCCAAAAGATAAAAAAAAGAAACGTTTGATTATATTCTAGTAGGTTGTTTTTTTGTACCTGGTGAATTAGCATCATCAACAATATGATTAAATATATCATCATTCTGATTTAAAATATGAGATTGAAATAATTGAAAAAGAAAATGACTATATGATAATTGAAATGTACGTGTCAATTCAACAGTTGCATATAATTGATCAAAAGATGACCATTCTTTAAATTGTTTTTGAACACGTAAAAATTGTTCAGGAAAATTTTCTGATGTTGTTAACATTATGTTTCTTCTTTTTCTTCTGCTGTTGTTGAATTTATTCTATGTATAAATGTTGAGGTTTATATACTGAATAAAAATGATCACAATGTACTCTAGAATATTAAATTTCCTTGTAACAATATCGTCATCTAAAATGTGAGAAAAGAAAAAAAAGTATTTGTACGAAGAAGAAAAATGATTATGAAAACTGAGTCAGTTAGAATGGGTTAACAATATCAGTCATTTTTTAAAATTCGTATAAAAAGCAGTAGCTTCATCAAAATGTTTCTGATATATTCGAAGTGGCATTTGTCGTTGAATTGATTCTTTTTGAGCTAATCTATAGGCTCGCTCGCAAATGTTTCTTATCAGTTTACCACCAGAATCTCTCGTTTCATTTATTATGGAACATGAGATATCTTGTTCTCTTACTGCTAGTTCTTTTAATACATTGTTAAGTATAGCTTTATGAGCCACTTCATCAGGTAGTGGCACGTTTATTATATAATCTAGTCGACCTAAATAAAAACAAGAAAAGTCATAATTTTCTAAAGAAAAGAAATTATCTTTCATTTTCTTACGTGCCCAGGTCGGGCGTTATAGAGTCCGTAAACGATGGTTTACGGCCGTATACGTCCGTCTTTTTACGTATTACCTGTTTCAGTATTAGGACCGTATATTTCCGTCACCATATACAGAGAAATACTGAAGAAAACGAAGATCGTATACGGAGCGTTTGCGACTGTAAACGATCATATTCTTCTGTTATATGGTAAAGATATTACTCTTTTTACCGTACGTCTTACCTCTTCTACTTCCAATGCGGGGTACAAATATCTCCGATTAGAAATTCTAAAATAATAAAATAAAGCAAAGTACTTAACGAATAAATAACAACCAGTAAGAAGAATTGTTTATTTATTGTTCACTAAGTATATCTACTTACGTTAAATCCACCTAAATACAACAAAATTAGATTAAATTAAGTACTTACTATTCGATAAATGCATCACTTTAGATCATCTAAAATAAAATAAAATAATAATATTCTCTTTCTTGTAGAGAAGCGTCTAGCAGAAATAAATTGTCTACTTTTTTGATTGATTGCTTGTATGTTCGCACTTCACTGATTGATCCAAGACTTCGGTAAAGATATAAAATGAATATTTTTTTATCAGGGTTGATCAAAGAGTAGTCGGGATCGAGGGACTCCAATCTGTCGTTACTTTTTTACAAATTTCTGTCGATCATGTTTTTAGACAGAGGAACACTTTTCTACAAAAAGAGGTATTTTTTATAAGAGTTGACAGAACGGGTATCAAGAATGTGGAACTCAAATCTAAAATCGATTTTTTAAAATGTTTCAATAAACAGTTTATTGGTAGTGAAGACACATCGATTCTACGACAAAGAGCTGAATGAGTCTCCAGACGAGCGTTACTTGTTATATAGAAAAGAAACTAAGTAAATTTCGATGTCATCAAAATTAATTAAAATCTCAAGATTATTTACATTTTTCATACATAATGGTTATAGACAGGCTTTCAGTCAAAAGAATACAGCAATGAGAATGATATCACCTATTTTAAAGGTCTCTTAGGTTCTATGTCTCCTAATTCGCGATCAAAAAATATGTGATTAACTTGTGTAATTGCTCATATAATTGTCAATATAAATAATTTTTTCTTCACGTCCGATTCTTCAATAACAAACATGACTGAACACGTTCTTTTTCGTCAACGGAAATAAAATACTTATTTTTTGCAAGTTACTTCAATGGTTAGTCAACCATGGCAATATTTCAATTACTTTTTTTTCGTTCCCCTTGTGTTGCTCTTCATAGCAACATTATATACAGTTAAAGAAAAAACATTCCGAAAGGAAGTAGAAACCTGTAAAAAGAGTCGTTTTTTTATCATTACTTCACTAGTAAATTCTACGCAGTAACTTCAATTCAAATTATTCACGTAGTAGACAGACAATGAACAAGAGAAAATCAACAACAAATGCATCTACAATTCCAAAACGTAAAGTGGATCGTCGACGTATCAATCTCCAACAGATGCAAAATGTTCTTCTAATCTGGTTGGATAGTAACATTGACGAGAATAACAACGATTGTCAAAATACAATTACAAAACTGCGATGTGCTGTAAATGATATCAACACATTTATAGATGTTGATCAATGCTTTGAGTTCATTGAAGCAGTCGTCGAAAAAAAGGCATGTATGATCATATCTGGATCACTTGGACAACATTTTGTGCCTTTTGTGCACAATATGTCTCAAATTGATTCAATTTTTATTTTTTGTGACACCCGAGAACATAATGAACAATGGGCCAAAGATTGGCCCAAAATAAAGGGTGTCTTCACAGATATTAAACCCATTTGTGAAGCACTTAAGGAAGCTGCTCATCAATGTGAGCAAAATGCTATTCCCATGAGTTTCGTGGGATCAAATAAAAAGTTGGATCAATTAGATCCTTCTTTTATGTACACTCAGATCCTCAAGGAGATTATATTAACCATCAGATTCAAACAAAATCATATCAACGATTATCTCGATTACTGTCGTCATACTTTTGCCGACAACGGAACAGACATGATTAATATTAACAAATTGGAAGATGAATATCACGAGAGAACACCAATTTATTGGTACACCTGTGACATGTTCGTGTACCCCATGCTCAATCGTGCATTACGATTGATGAATGGTAATATCATTACACGTATGGGTTTCTTCATTGGTGATTTGCATCGACAGATTGAAGAACTGCACAAGGAACAATATGCTCGTGCAACTGCTGCTAACACCTTTACGGTTTACCGTGGTCAAGGTTTATCTGTTGAGGATTTTGAACAACTAATGAAAATCAAAGGTGGTCTTATTTCATTCAACAACTTCTTATCTGCCAGTAAAGATCGTAAAGTTTCCTATGCTTTTGCAGAAAGCAATCAGACCAATCCAGATTTAATTGGAGTGCTTTTCGTTATGAAAGTAGACCCATCTCGATCAACATCGCCATTTGCTTCAATTACTGGAATCAGCAACTTTCAAGGAGAAGAGGAAGTATTATTTTCGATGCACAGCGTTTTTCGTATACAGGATATTGAACAGATTGGTAGAAATAATCGTTTATATGAAGTTAATTTGGTACTAACTGCGGACAACGATCCAGAATTAAGCAGACTTACAGATTATATTCGAAAAGAGAGCTTTCCAGACTCTGAAGCATGGTATAGATTGGGTGCGATACTATGGAAAATGGGTCAGTTTGACAAAGCCGAAGACATTTATCAAGTTTTACTTGATCAAACAAAGGATGATAAAGACAAAGCACTTTTTTATGAACAACTTGGTTCGATCAAACACAATCAAGGAAAATATCAAGAAGCACTTATATTCTATGAACAATCCCTTGCTATCTGTCAGACAAAAATTCCCTCCAATCATCCCGATTTGGCTATTCCCTACAATAACATCGGTACAGTGCATGCCGACATGGGTGATTATCCAAAAGCACTTTCATCTCATGAGAAAGCTCTTGAAATCAAACAACAATCACTTCCTCCCAATCATCCTGGTTTGGCTTATTCCTACAATAACATTGGTTTAGTGCATTACGGCATGGGTGATCATCCAAAAGCACTTTCTTATTATGAAAAAGCTCTTGAAATTTGGCAACAATCACTTCCTCTCAATCATCCTCATTTGGCTATGTCCTACAACAACATTGGTGTAGTGCATGCCAACATGGATGATTATCCAAAAGCACTTTTA